ATAGCTAATAAAGACAATAAGTTTTATATCTCTTGATAAGGTTATCCTGTTTGTCTCTATTTTACTGTTAATAACTCTACTGGTTACAATAAGCATTTTAATCACTGTATTTAATCTGAAGTTGTCAAGCACACAAGGAAAACTTTCTTATCTTATCATTAAAAATGCTTGAATCCAAGGACATAAAGAAGTTAATGAATATGTACAGGAATGTCCCTATACATATTCAGCTACTTAATATTAAGTGAAGGTAAATACAATATGTATTTATAACATTACAGTAATGATAACAATAAAAGGAGTACATCATAATATATAGCTCAGGTCTTGCATATTCTGACAGAAAAAATAACAATTTTTGACCTTTTTACTGTGTTTGCAATAAAAGCAGATATTGGAATTAATTCGAAACAAATAATTAATTACATACAGAAAAATTTTGGCTTGCCAAAATTGAAAGCAGTATAAAAATTTTTTTAAGGCAAAGAGACTCGGAAAATTCTATTTGAAATACAAATGGGATTCCACGCAGATATGCATACATACATACATACATATATACAGAGTGATTATAAAGTTCACTTTCAAATGGTCATAAAAGAAAACCTACTGGACCAAATGTTACCAAACTTGGTAATCGTGTAAAAGAGATCATGGGAATTTATTAAAAAAAAAAAAAAAAAAGTTAAAAAAACTCCTCACTGGGGGGGGGGGGAATGGCGCTGTGCGCAATATTGTTAAACAGAATAAGGGTCCAAATCTAATTTATCCTTTTGTTACAAGGGTTTAACATGTTGTATACCCTTAAGAAACATTGACCTAAAGAAAAATTATATATTTAAAGGCGCTGAAAGTCGAGTGCGCCATCTGTAACAAAGAAACTAGTGTGTTCTGAAGCCTAAATTCAGCACGAAGGCATGAAGAAATCGGTTTAAAACTTTTTTAATCGTTTCTAAAACGAAACTGTTTGTGGTGTGAGGCAAAACCGCAATGCCTTATAATTGGGTTACAGCAGGAAGAAGCAAATGATTTATGCAAATAATCTAAACAATTCAGCATAATTGAAAGATGTGATACACCGACATGTCCATAACATTCCTGCTGATACTCTAAGAGCTGTTGTTAAGAATGCAGTAATACGATTTAACTTGCTTTTGGAAAATAGTGGACACTATATTGAACATGTTTTGTAACGCGTTTCAGGAAATGCATTCTTAACAACAGGAAATGATTAAATAGATTTTAAACTGATTTCTTCATGTCTTATTTCATTTAACAATATTGCATACAGTGCCATTTCCCCCTGTTGGTGAGTTTTTTAACTCCCCCCCCAAAGAAAATAAATTTCCATTATCTCCTTTACAAGATTACCAAGTTTAATAACATTTGGTTCAGTAGTTTGCCTTTTATTACCATTTCAAAGTGGAACTTTAATTCTAACCACCCTGTATACAACAAAACACAATGAAAATTTTAGCATACAAATTGTGATAATTGTCTTGATGTCTTCACCTCCCAAAAAACTGAAATATGATTAAAATTAAGAAGTAAAAATTTTAATTGCATATTTACATTAGAAACATACGTATAGCAGCATGAAGTTATATGGTTCTAACGAAAATTTATAAAACATATTCTTTGCATTTAATACTATCAGGTTTCTTTCAAGAAGGTTTTCAAGGTGTACTGTGAAAATATTAATACAGATTCACTGTAAAAACTGTGTAGTAAAAGCCCAATGTTTTAAAGATGTTATCCAATATTTTTAAAGGGTAATGTACTTTTTCAGTTTCCATATGTATCTTTTTCCCCATATAAGCATCATTAAAAATAAAATGCATCTCAGAATCACTGATTTTCTTGAATTACTAATTATAATAAAACCTCTTGAGGTGACCATCTTCCCAAGATTGCCATATCTGAAAGTGACCATTATTTCTGAGAACGTACACAAACACTGATATTGAATATCACATTTTTCTCAAAAATGACAGTTCTACAGAAGATAAAAGATATCTATGTACTTTCCTTTTGATAGTACAGTTGGCAGAGATCTGCAAACTTGTGGCAATCATTCTGACAAAATTTTGAAGAAACAGATCACTCTTTATTTAGCTAAATAATCCCAGATCACTATTTATTTAGTTAAACAATCATCAGATGCAAATTACCAATATAGCATATAAAAAAATAACAAATATCAGCTCTAGCTCTGAGATTATATGGCAAATGAATTGATATGCTCTGAGATTATATGGCAAACACTTGCAGCCAAAAATCCCTAACAGCATTTAAAATGGTCATAATCTTCATGAAGTGAGTGCCACAAAAATTCCCTTAAATATAAAATCTAAGTTTTCCAGAGTTCTGGTAAATCTCCAAGTCTCTCAGTGCTTTAGCATGATGGCAGGGGTCCTTATAACTTTGAAAATACTCTACTGCTTGATATTCTGTAGAAAGTATCAAATTTGTTTTAAAATTTTAATAATTATCTCCAAATGTGAAAAAAGAGCAGTTAATTTACATCCTTTTTTGAAGAAATAAAAGTAGCTTATTGAGAATTAATCAGCTACATAAAACAAAAAATGAAAACTTTAAGCATAGTGATGATTATGCTTATCTATTACTGGTGCCAAATTGTTTTGCTTAATGGTAGTTTTTGTTTGCAGATATAATTTACAGGAAAATACACACTGATCAAAATTATTTAGAATCATAGTTGGTAATTTTAAAAATAAGTTTTCCCAAATCACTAATTCAAAATGGGAATACTGGTGTAGTTAACAAACCAAAGTTGATTTTAAAAATAATTGTTAGATATATTTTAGCATTTTATTTCATTCACATTATTTTTTTTAAAATTAAAGTCATTTTCTTTTATTGGCGGTACAACAATTAAGGGGCATATCTTTCAACTCTGGACAACTTAAAATTAAAGAAACATAGTATGTATAGTTTTAAAGTATGAATTGAAAATTGAAAAATGTGAAAACAACTAATTTTGCTTCATACTAAATAAACATTGGGTTTCTAAAACAAGTAAGTTTTTTATAGAATTAGATAATTAAAATTAACAGCTATAAAAACAAGTCACTTGTGAGGTTAATTAAATGATCCTCAAAACCCTGCATGTGAAAACCACTTTGCAATTAAAATTTCCATACAAGAGTATGGGCATAATACTCTGCTATATCAAGATACAAAATCAACGAAAACTATTTTAATATTGTTCAATAAAAATTCAATTCATAAAAGAAAAACTATAAAAACTTATAAACTGAAAGAAAAAAATATCTTGATTTTTAATACAAATGCTATCAAGTAGGATATTCAGTTTGACCCTTAAATATTTCATTAGATATTCTCTGTCTTTTTTTTGGGGGGGGGCAATGATTTTTTTTATAGCCAGCAATAATATTTAATGAATCAGTTTTGACACTTATATATTTCATTAAATACCCTGTCTTCTGGAGGTGCAGACAATGATTTTTTATAACCAGCAATAATATTTAATGAATAATTTAAATATGTAATTTATAATTTCTAAGAATTGAAATTCTAAAAATAATTTTAGAATTTTCCAAAATTACATCCAATATTAAAAATATAATTCCCTGTAACTTACTATGCTTTACTTTAATTATGGAAATTTTACATTCATATTTGTAAAACATGCACTGCACTCTTGAAATAAAGCTTTTCAAACTGAAGAAATTAACAGTGGACATTAAAATTTTGGAATTACACGAATATAATAAATAGCCTCTAATAATAATAACAAAATATTTTTTTAAAAAAAATGAGAGTTTTGCAGATAAAATAAAAGGAATACATCTACATAAAATCCAAGTATGATTAGAAGTCTGCTTCTTAATATAAAGAAATTTATCTCGCATAAAGAGATAAAAATAGCCGTACATAATATGAAGGCATCATTTTGCTCATTACATCACATTCCCGTCCTTTTTAAAAAATGTCTAAGCATTGTACATTCATCAATCATTACTTTATGACATCTTTGATAGACAGCAACTGGAAATGTAATTTAACAGATGTTTCTTGACATTCTTATTTATGCAAAATGAAAGCAGAACCTTAGCACAAAATTTTTTAATCAAAACGCTCATTCACCAAACATAGCACATGTTTTGGGAGACTGATTTTTTAATATTTAAAAAACTAGACAAGATAACAGATCTAGGAAATGTTTTATGAAAATTATATATTAGTCACATATAAAAGAGATGAAGGCATTCAGAACTAAATATAATCCTTTAGAAATTTTAATTACAGTAAAAGATAGATTCAAATAAAAAAGATAAGAGATTATACATATAAAACACAAATTACGAAAAATGTCTAGCAGAAATTTGAAGGTTAAGCATAAGATTTGAACTTCACAGCAATAAAAATTAAGGCACTTTACTTAACACATGAATATTAAGTCGTAAACAGTATGGGGGGGGAGAACTAGGTATTTTACTTTTATAAGGGAAAAATTGAATTGAAGGAAATTGAAGGAATTGCAAAATGAATTTAAATAAAAGTATAATCTTGTAAAAACTTTTTAAATGAACTTCATAACAGTTTGAACATAAATAAAATTCAAAAAGTTCACAAAACATGAAAAAATATAATTTAAAGATTGCTATGCAAATTGTTTTCTTAATTATGTAAAATACAGCTAAAATACTAGAAAAAATTTTTTTTTCAGATGTTAACAAGTTTGAGTAATGGGAAAGGTTAAGAATGATACCTAACACATTAACCACCATTTGTACCCAATTACACAAAAGATATATTTAAAATAAATCTAAATTAATAATGGTCTTAAAATTATAGTATATGACATTAGGGAACATTTATGACATATTAATAAAAAAATAATAGTGGCCTAAAACAACCTTTTTTATATGCTGGCATTGAATGTGCTACATTCTGAAACATATAGTGGCTTTTCAAGGAACAACTATAAAATAAGGTATAATATTCAACCATTTACTTTTTACCTCAACATAACCTGCAGGAAAAAGTCCTTTCTGTCCTCTGTTATTAACACCCTCCCACCAACCTTCACCAACATCCTAAAGAGAAGTACATATATTAAAAATTATTTTCAAATCATGGACAGAACATAAAAAAAAGTAATTTTTAAAATAAACAAAATTAATGACTAGCTAGCAGATCAGTAAATTATTTAGATAATTAAATGGAGTACATAAAAATATGTAACAAGAGAATTTTTGAAGGCAGGTGAGAAGTTAAAAGATGTCTCCATACAAATTAGCTATATAAAAATTACAATTTTGTCTCAGCTACTTAATCTTTAATAATAATTTTAATTAACTTATAATTTTTTTTTCTTCCAACTGATAATTGTTAGCAAATCAGCAGATGCTGCTAAACTTTCTATTCATTTTGTTATTTTTACTATACTTGGTACTTCTCTATTAACATTACTGATTAATTCTTAATTGCCAACTACAGAGAATGTTGCAAGATATGGTAAGCCATTCACTGTAATTTATTTTCTCTTCCATTAAATGCTATCTCAGGATTTTAAGCATAGTTTAAAAACTCATTACTTATTTATCATCATTCACAGAGTTCTTTTCTTTCTGTTCCAGCATTTTAGGCATTAATGATGTTTTATACAGTTATTGAAATATAATCATGAAAATTCTCGCTTTATCAAAGTAAGAAAAAAAGGAAGTCTTTTTCTCCCCCCCCCAAAAAAAAGGCAAACTTGCCAGTTCATATTATCTACAAAAATAATCGTACTATAAAATTACACTTTGAAAAAATAATTTTTACAAAATGCAGTGCTGAAACACGTATACAATAGACAGCATTAAAAAAGAAAACTAATATAAAGGTAGCCGTATTCCAGTAAATTTCAGCAAAATGGAGAGTATGTACATTTACATGATAATAATTTATAAATATTGCTAAATTAAAAACATTAACCTAAAATATATGGGGTCAGGTGGAGGAAACTTGGAGAGAACCTTGGCCTGTAACAGGCTGTGGAGCTTATGAAGAAGAACCTAAAATATATCTACTTTTTATCATCTTCTTATGATATAAAGATATATTTACTTCAATTAACTTATTCCAACCTTAATAAAAAATTTCAATCCCTAGTAATGAAACTATTTTTTAAGCCTCTATTTGCATGAATACTTTGGCAACTTTAACTTTGGCTTTTATATACATGATTCTCCTATCACTTACCAACCGGGTTGGCAAATATCTTTTTTGGGGGAGGGAAAACAGTCTTTTGACCAACTTTCTTGCCCTTTTACTTCCTCCTTGTGCTCAATAAGAGCTGCAGTGTGCAATTTTTCTATGGATGTTTATGTGTTATCGATGTTATATTGCTCGGTTCTATCGATGTTATAAGAGCACGAGTTCTTATGCAATTTTTAATTAAGTTACATTAAGTTTCTTGTGTTTTTCTAGTAATATTGTATTTAGTGACACTTGTTCAGTTATGACCATTGCGTACATGTACTGTACTCTACAATGTGTTATGAAATTTGTGTTCTTTCCGACATTTGAAATCCTGGGTTTTCAGGCAACTTTATTGTACATGGTTTATATTCACATAGGCATGATGCTTCCCCCCCTTTTTTTTGCCAGCTGCGAGTTCCCATCCTTTTTAAAGACACCAATTGAGGACTTGGACATGCCAATTCGCCGAGATATAAAGACATGCCAATTCGCCGAGATAAAGACATGCCAATTCGCCGAGATATAAATTTAGTTATGGTTGAAAATACCAACTAAGGTAATCTAGAAAATAACCTTAGTATTCAAATCCTTAGTAGTACAATCCAAATCCTTAGTACCTTAGTATCCACTGCATAACAGTCACTTCATCTTCTCTCTGACTCTATTTGTTTGGTTCATTTTTAAGTGTTTACTGGAATTCTAAAATATGCCTTCTACACTTAATATTCATTCTAATTTGGCACTTTTTTGTTAAATCTTTACATGCATACTTTAGTGTTTGTTACATATAATTTTATTCAGTGCTGTTAGTCCCATAAATAAATTATGGAACTAACAAAAAAAAAAAAAAGACCAAACAATTATGTTCATATAATAAAAATTGGGGAAAAGGTTATGAATGGTTAGCTGCGACTATTAATCCAAAACAAGTAAAGAGCACTATTTGTCAAAAATTTCACATATCAGTGTTTTAGCAAGAAGACAGAATAAATATTTAGACTGTCAGAAATAAAAGCACACCATTTTCGCAAAGTTTTTTAATTGATAAGTTTATTTATAAAAGCAAATTCTAAAGAAGTACAGTCAAAAGTAATCCGGACGTCCATAATCCGGACCTCAAAGCTACAAACTTTCTGCGCATGCATAAACGCATAATATGTTTACGCATGCCCATTATACGTTTAGGCATTCGCGTTTAATGTATAAAGAACGGTATAAGATAAGCTAAAATTATCTAATTATCTATTTCAGTTAATGTTGCAGATTGCATTGTTCCTTAATCTTTTAATTGGTTCTGGCTTATAACCTAAAAAAGTTAAACCTAAAAAATGATGTTTGGTAATGCCACTTACCATCACACCACATATACACAGCAGATATTACTAATCCTTACACACTCAGAATACACTTTCTGAGGAAATATAATTTTTCCTGGGACTTTAAAAATAATGAACTGCATTTTGCCTCTGAGGACATAACCCTGTCTGGAAATGAAGAAGAAGGAGATTATGATCCATCCATCAATCATAGCTCAAGATGATGTCACAGTATCAGCAAGAACAGAATTTATACATCCTGGATACATAGCTGAAAACAGAAATTTATGGTTCTTCTTAGACAGATTTCCTTTGGAATATTCCAAGAACTGTAACACCCCGCAAGCAGTATTACCAGCCTCAGCAATCGCCAACCTATAGCGGACTGTTATCTCGGTGAGAGTTGCCAATGCAACTGAAGTTATTGCCACGAATTGTTGCCATGTTACCAATGCAACTGATAACATGAAAGTAATTAGAAAAAGCTGAAGTGTTTGTAGTAGCTGGTCACGTGACATAAACTAAACAAACCAGTAGTGCTCCAGAATTTGTGTATTCGGAGAGCCTAACACAAGAGTTACTGCAGAAAGCGTAGCTAAATGATGAAGAGATGCTGCAGAATGTGTCATTAAATAATTTAAGGGGCATGCAAGAAAGCGAAAAGATGTCATCAAGCCTTCAGCAAGTCCATGGGCATCTCCCATTGTCCTTGTCAAAAAGAAAAATGGTTCAACCAGATTTTGCATTGACTATCACCCACCGACTGAATGAGGTTACGAAGAAAGACAGCTACCCTCTTCATCATAGAACTGAAAATATTCTAAACACTGTTTCTGGAAGCAAATCCTTTTCGACATTTGATTTAAACAGTGGATATTGGCAGGTAGAGATACACCCTGATGACCAAGAAAAGATGGCATTTACTACCGGACAAGGATTTTGCCAGTTCAAGGTGATGCTGTTTGAATTATGTAACACACTAGATGCATTCAAATTTCTCATGCTGAGAGGTCTTTCCAATGAAGCCTGTCTAATATACCTGGATGATATCATCATCGTCTTTGGGAAAAGTTCTGAAGTTCATTTAGAAAATATTAGGAAGGTGCTTCAAAAATTGAAGTAAGCCAATTTAAAATTAAGTCTTGCCAAATTTAAATTGTTCAGACAGGAAGTAACTTACTTCGGATATGCAATCTCTGCCAAAGGTGTATGTACGGATCCAGAAAAAGTGTCCGCAGTTAAAAACTAGTGATGCCCCAAAAATGTCCACCAGCTATGAACTGTACTTTGCACCTAATATAGCAGATTATTGAAGGACTTTTCTTCTATACCAAGACCCCTTTATAAACTGATAGAAAGCAAACAAAAGTTCTTGTGGATAGAAGAACGTGAGGATGCATTTAACAAACTTAAGGAAGCTTTAACATCTGCAATAATCTTGACATATCTTTAGCTCAAGAAATCATTTATTCTTGACACAGATGTGAGCAGTGAGAGCATTGGTGCTTTTTTGTCCCAAGAAATAAATAGTCATGAACATGTCGTAGCATACCTGAGCAAGTGTCTACCTAAACCAAAGGGAAATTACTGTGTAGCCTGGAAAGAGCTCCTTGCCATATTTAAAGGCATAGAACATTTCCACCATTATCTCTACAGCAGAAAATTCCTTCTCCGAATGATCATGTAAACTCTGACCTGGCTTTTAAATCTCAAGAACTTGGAATGCAAAATAGCCAAATGGACACAGAGACTCCAGGAAAATGACATTACTATCCGTTATCAGAAGGAATCACCACATGGAAATGCCAATGCCCTGTCTAGAAGACCCTGCCCAGAACGACCCTATTGTTAACTAGCTCATACTTCTTCCGAACCAGACCCTTTGAGTGACAGAGAAGTAACAGGAGTTAGGAAAGACCAGTTGAGGACATTAAACCTAAAACTGAATAGAATCTTCAAACAGGAAACCTATCTGGCAGGACATTTTGACCTATAGTCCTAAGACAAAAGACTGGGCTCTCTAGGACTCATTTGATATTCAAAATGGAGTCTTGTACCAGAAGTTTGTATCCGATGATCGAAAGGTATTCCGATGGCAGATGTCACTTCCTAGATCCTGGATGTCCTTAAAGGATTACATAGGAGTCTGACTGGAAGTCACTTTGAAATAATGAAGACTTTGCATGGAGTTCAAGAGCACTTCTACTGGATAATGCAAGGGCTGACATGAAATGTGGCACCAATCATGCGATTACTGTGCAGGTCGGAAAGGACGGCACTGAAGCCTACCTTATTCTTGATCAAGAGGTTGTCACAGTAGCAAAGGCAATGATACAGCCCTGGATTTCCAGGTCTGGAGTAGTTCTTCAGTTACATTCCAATAAAGGAAGGAATTTTATCTTGGCTGTAATCAAAGAACTTTGTACGCTACTCGGCACTGACAAAACTAAAATGATGCCTTTTTATCTCCAGTCAGATGGCATGGTAGAGAGGCTTAATTGAACCATCCTTAACCACCTTTCCCTGACGGTTTCCAGAAATTAATAAGACTAGGACCAGAAGCTACCTCTGTTCTTAATGGCCTATCGCAGTGCTGTCCACGAGACTACCTGCTATTCTCCATCTGACATACTCTTCGGTCATGACCTTCATCTGCCTAGTGATCTCTTATCTGGTTGCCATCGGGATGCATCTTCATCGCCTGAGGACTACATTAAAGATCTACAGACACAGTTTAAAGTGATGCACAATTTTGCATGAGAAAGAGTCAACTTGTGGACTTAGAAGATAAGACCCAATACGACACAACAGCTACAGTACACTGATTCAACGATTTGCTTTATTTAATTATGGCAAAGCACACTAGGGCTATCTGCCTAAGGGGTGAAATGCATTCGTGGAGAACTTTCTAAGGGAAACTGGCTCTATACACGTTACACATGGGGAAAACCACGAAAACACCCATGCAGCCAGCCCGTTCGCAGGATTCGAACCTCGAACCGAATTACTAGTGTTCAGCGACTTTACTGCTCGGCCGTTGGTGGGCCTATTGATTCAACGAAGCCAACAAGGTGTGGTTATGGAATCCAATTTGACACAAAGGACTTCCTTCTAAACTGCACTCACATTAATGGTCCTTACACAGTCTAAAACAGGATGAATGACTTCGTAGTTCGGATATATTTTAAATCATGAAATTCTAAGCCTTTATGGCCTGTAACTATGGCCACAGTAATGTGGTTTCCATAGTGTGTGTATAACATAAATAATACTAAAACTATGGTCCTATTTGTATATAAATTTGTAAATTTACGCATTTACTTATTGATTAGCATTTGATTTATTTTATGTTATTAATTGAAATTATTATTTTAGTATTGCATTTATTTTGCTTAGGTGTAAGTATGGCTTTCTGTCTAGGGTTTGCACTGCTCGGGATGTGCAGTCTTTGAGAAAGGGACAGTGTTAAGGATTTTATATATATGTAAATAACTTTAGTGAGATTTTATATGAAATTGTATAATGTAGCATAAAATGCTTGAAAAAGACAATGCTCTCCTGGAATGTAAGAATACAGGCACAAGTCTATTTAACATAGCTACCTAGCTAAATTGGTCAGATATCGCAAAGCTGGCGATGCTTTTTGCAACTAATTTTTGTTGCCAAGCTTGCCAACATTTTGGTTTGGTCTTTGTATGACTGTAACTGGTATTTTAATTGAATAATTGTAATGAATCTCTATATTTAACTGAACCCAAGCCTCATATGCCTTCCACTAATTTTGAGATATGAAAGGTACTAGAGATTTATCGGCAGCCTACGGGGAAAACCATACAAGTTTAGAGAGAGCATCAACTCTCAGTTGTTAGTTCAGAGTCAGCTTTGGAGTATTGAGGTTATCTCCATGTAAGCTTCACTCCTTAGATAAGCGTTACATGGCATTGTATTTAACATTTTTAGTAGTTTTAAATGTAAGTGCTGACTGTGCTTTGTAATACTGAGTAGAACTATACATGTATTTCTGTGAAAAGTTCTAGTTTGTTTCTTTTGGTAAAGTAAATTTTATCAAGCTATCATAGGTTCTGTGTGCATTGAATCTATTATTAACCCCTATACATGCAACAATATTATGCAACTGACAGTGACAAAATTAAAAAAGGGAAATACCAGAGATAAATTTACAATAGTAAAATGGAATACCAACTGGCTCTTCAACTAAACAGTACATTCATTACATTTTTCCTGTACATACATGCATAAGTTTGTTTATACAGTCAAAAGTCGTTAATCCGGACTCGTCGGGACTTTGGAGATTCCGGATTATCGATTTTTCCGGATTATAGATCATCAGTTTAAATCTGGTAAAATGGCATGCAGAAATTATAAAATTAAAAATATGAAAACGTAATTTACGAAATAAAGGACAATTATGATCTAAAGGGTATCAAAATTTAAAAAAAAAAAAAAAAAAAAAAAAAAAAAGCTTAATATTTTATTTGTTTACTTATTAAACATTTCTTTCAATGTAAGTTGTTTAAGTTGCTTCATTTTTTAATGTGATAATACATTCTCTTTAATTCTATAAACAGACATAATTTCTTGTTCAGTTACAAAGTTCCGCTGTTCAAGTCCTATAATTGCTGTGTCAAGAACACCGACTAACTTACCCACTAATTTGTCAATCGAAATTTTTTGTTTTCAATAACCTCTGTCACTTTCTTCGCTATCAGAAGCGAATTATAATGACGAGGCATTTGATTTAAATCATATCAAAGACGGAGTACATCAAGATGAAATACTACATTGAGTAAGCAATTATAAGACAAATAAAATAAAAACATCTTAAGATAAGGATAAAACTGACAGATCAACTTCCAATTCATTGCACGCCGCCGCGGCGTTAAAGATATACAAAGTTTAGATAAACAAAGGATATAGCTTTATCCATTTTTTGCAGCAATTGCACTTTTTGTTTAATGGACTCTGAAAGATACTTTCGCTTTGTATATCCTTTACATATTAGTAAATATATATCGGAAATTCTATTTGACATAATCGAAAGTTCAAGCTTACTTTTATAAAATTGCTCTAACAGTCTGCAAAAAATAATAATCCGGATCCAATTCGAAGATTAAGGAACAACGCAATCTGCAACATTAACTGAAATAGATAATTTTAGCTTAGCTTATCCCGTCCGTTGTAAACGTATTTTGCGCACGTGCAAATTCACAGCAGTAAAGGTCTTACGCGCATGCGTAAATGCCTATGCGCTGAAAGTTTGTAGCTTTGAGGTCCAGATTATAGATCATTCCAGATTATGGGTGTCCGAATTAACGACTTTTGACTGTATTAGAAAGTAGCATGCATGAAATCAAGCTGAAACGTAAATAACAAACTTAACAACAATCACATATACTTGGGGAGGGAACCCCCTCATATTACATGAAATTTACTTACTAAATGAACAAACATACATTCAAAATGGCAACTTACCTGATTTGTAACAGTTAAGATTTCATTAGCTGATATACTTAATTCTCCTGTTCCAGGCTGAGCTTCAAAGTCATATAGGGCTTTCACCTGGTAGGAAAAAGAAAATTTTTTTTTAAGTGCAGATGATATACATTAACTACATAATACAACTTCGATAACATACAGAAATACTTAAATTAGAGTTCGAATCACGGTCAACAGATAGTCTGCAGCTATCTGTTGCCACAGAAATGAGATCTGATCATTTTTCATTTGGGAGGTCTTTAAAAATTTCTTTTCAGCTTGCCATGTTGGTGCACTTAATGATGAATTACTTAAATTCGCTTTTTATTTTAGTTTTAAGTAAATTGCTCATCGACCTTTGTTACTGCATCCAGTTTCTAGATCTTTTCCTGCTATAGGCGGTCCCTGATTTTGCTGCCAAGGCAGTTTCTCAAGTTGCTGTTCCTCTCGATATACAAATGAATAAAAGTATGTGAAAATATTTTTATATAAGAATAATTTATAAAATAAATTTTAATAGTTTTTAATTTTAAAGTATTATAAATAATAACTAAATAATAAACAACTTTTATAGTCATAAAATATTCTCTTTTTATATTCCTAAATTCACTGAATGTGGTACTTTAAACAAAATGTCTTTTTGTCCCAGGAAGTATCCCCCCTGTTTTTTGGTAAATACAGACAACTTTCACTTGGATGGCACTTTTTTTTTTTGATATAAAAATTTTACTGTGTAACACATTTATCAAAATGATATAAAAATTGTCTACCGTGTAACACATTTATCAAAATGATCAATTTCCCAGTTTTGATCAGCAAGCCTTTCACAGTTCTTTCCAGGTGTACTTAGAAGTTTCTCTTCACCCATTGTCGATACTCCAAGCCTAAATTTTTTTTCATTGTATACAGAGATACTACAGTCACTTGCGATGTTCTCTTCAAACTTGAGGGAGTGGAACTACTAAAGAGTTTACCGAAGTTTCAGAAGCCAAAAATTCTTTAACTGCACACGATTCGACTTGCCTGAGATTTTTAAGGTTGATCTTTCTTAAAAGTTGGTGATATCAGAGCACTTCAAAAAACAACATACTAACCAGAAACACATTTTAACAAATAACAATATAAAAGAAATAACAACGACAACAAAAATAATTAAAAGTGATACGCAAAGCTGTAGGGAGAAGATGCATGCAACAGGGATGAAACCGAGAAGATGAATGATAAATTTTGTCTTTCCTTCAGCCAACTTTCTTTAAAAACAAAATAACGATAAAGCATTCCCTTCACTTACCCCTATTTGATACATACTAGCTTTGTTGATATAGCGAGTTCTATCCACCAGACATCCTCGCAAGTGCTCTTCTCCTGACAGAAAGACAGTAGCATGTCCAAATTTGTTCCTCTTATGAGATTTTACTACACAACACAAAGGCCTTCATATTAGAGCAATGCCATAGAAAAAAATTTCAGACACACTAGTCACACCCCGCACACTGTCAAATTTTTTTGGCTACAAGTGAAAATTTTACACAATAAAATAGAAATTTATTTATGATTTAAGAAAAGGAAGATGTTAAAAATTTCAAGAAACAGAAATATGACTATTTAGAAAGGTGGAGATAAGGCCAATAAAATTTGGGTGCTTTCTGACTTTCCAAATCCCTGTTTCGATGCATAGTAGAACTTTTAAGTTTTTGGCATATTTTCAGTATGCATGCAAAACTTAGAATGAAAGTACCACACATGTGCTTAAATAAACATACTGAATTTACACACTTTAAATCTAACCATCATTTTGTTGAACAACATCAACTGTAGAAATGTAAATACCAGCCACATAGATTTTTGTAATAAAATATCATGCGAGTATTTAAAATAGAGCTGTAAAAACTGCTAAATAAAAGTTTTTCATTAATTCACCATAGAGTTGGCCTAAAGGTGCAATAAATTAAAAAATACCAAAGTTTTTTTGCAAAGGGAACATCATAAAACAAAGAAAAAGCTTGGCAAACTTTTTATGAGAGCTTGGCTTGTAAAATAATATTTACACATCCTTTCATCCCTGCTCCCAACTCATTACTACGTAAGTTAATAACAAAATATTTCAATACTCGTGTATTATGCAATCGACTCTGAAAAACTGTTACCAGGCACTGCAATGTAAACCAAGTATGGATATGCATGACAAAACAACCGATTCTTAGATAAGCCACCTTTCCTTTTTATGAAAAAGGGCATAAATTAACCGATTTTTTCTTGCATTTTGAAAATAAATTATTAAGATTTAGGACCTGTCCTTTGCAGAACATCAAGCAGTGGATTGTTTTAAAATGAGATCTTATTAAAAAAAAAACGTGTGTATGCTATGATCAAATGTGGACATGCTATGATCACCTGAGTATAGCCAACAAAATAGTAACAGACTAAGAATTACCTCAAGGAAGTTTGCATCCATAGCATTCTAAAAGCAGCTTCTACTAAAATCAGAGGGCCTAACAAAATAGTACAAACTGCTAAAAGCTTTTTACAAAGTGACTGTTTACTAAATAAAAAGGTAATTCTGCAAGAATAATTATTGCAACTATGGAGGAACCTCTGTCAATTTTCATGGTTCGATGGTAGCCAACAAGATAACCCATATGTACCAATATTTCATTTAAACAATGTTTTAAAAGTTTTTAAAATTAAACTTTGATTATATAGTTTATTTCCTCAATTTATTCGCTCTTTAATCCCCCTTAAACTAAAATCCCAGATGTTATTTTTTTTTTTTTTTTTTTTTTAAATCTCATGTAGAAATATTTGGGAGGAGATAAGGATGAAAGATATGACTGATTTAAAAAGACTTTTGAAAATTTAGTTCACAGATGTAAAAAGAGGTTCACTTGGCGGGATAGAATAGGCAATGAATTCTATTCAGTCAACATTTTAACTTCACTATTTGTGTTCGCCCCCTTAAAATTTTATTTGCAACCAAAATGTTTGGGAAAATGAAAGGCATTTTTGTTAAAAGATATAACTGTAATTTTACATTGGTATACAAAAACTGGTCACCCGCTATGACAAGTGTTTGATGATTGGCGGAAACTATGTTGAAAAAATAGTTTAAGACATTTACTTTCATGTAAAAATAAAATTGAATTTGAAAAAATTGTTTTACTATTTTTTTTTTTCAAAACGGTACTTAGTTTCTGAATACGCCTCATATTTTAAAATTTCATCAGCTGGAAGATACTTTTAATACTGATAAAATCAGCTTCTTTCATTTCAAGCTTTTAAAATGTCTCACCTTCTAAAGACATTCAATATAATGGAATGTCAAAATCACTATTTACCCTGTGTAAATGCTGATGAAATAAAAGGTACCTTTAGTCTAAAGATAGTCATGAAAACCTAAACATTTCAAATACATTAAATAATTTCCATACTGGTCTGCAGCAAACACACACATACATACACACTTGTGAAAAAAAAAGGATGACCACATTAAATTTTTCCAGAATGGCTCAAAAAAAATCATAAAGGCAGTAAAAAGATAAAATACTGCTTTTTAATGTTAAACCCTGCTTGAAATTTTGTGATTTTAATAATGAAGTCATTTTACTTCTAAAATAAGGATATTATCTTAAATAAACTAAAAGTAAGATAAAATTAAGTGTACATATAACAAACAGTAGAGGACACTTTAAAATTCTAAAACTCTAGGTAGAAACTTAACATTTTAAATCTATATATATATATGTGTCATCCTAAATTAAAAGTTCTATTATATACCTTTTTTTCATAGATCCTCTAAAATAAGTATAAATAGTGCTTCACCATGTAAGCAGTACAGAAGCATAAGTTAATGCATAATAGTTCAATTCACTAATTTTTTTTTCTTATATTAGGTTATTTTAATTCATAAACATTTTCTCTAATTAGGTTCTTTTATTTCTTATAAAATTATCTTCAATGAAGGCAGGCATCCCTTCCTTAGACTCCTTATTTTTTCCCACACTCCAGTATTTTATTTCATAATTAATATACACAGTGAAAAAGAACAAAGGACAGTTCTATATCTCCTGTTCTACTGGGCTGATTGCCAAAATTCAGCTTACGTTTTCCAGGTCTCAAAAGCGCAACGGGTAGAGTAGACTTTAAGGTACCCCTTATATTATGGCGAAGTTGTCGCTTGATTTATCGCTAAGTTGTTGTTTCATTTATGGTAGCCCGAGTAGTTGAATGTTATGGAAACCCTATTGTGATGTAATCGGGTGCATGATTCTGGAAAATTTTGAATCATGGGATGTTTTGTAAGTGTTTTTGGGGTGTGTGTAAAAACCGTTTCGATGGATTTGAATGGGTTTGTAAGAAGAAAGGTTCAGATGGTCACTATGTGAAGTGTTCGATCAGAAAGAGTACCTGGTTTGAAAAAAGTCATTTGAGTATGATTGATATTTTGATTTTTACGTGGCTCTGGGTGTACGAAGCGAATTCGAAAATCATGGTAAGCGAATATTTTGCTTTTGGTAGTGCTTAAATGTATAACATGTTTTCCTTTTTTATTTATTTTATTGTTTGGGTTAAAATGTATTTTATTGAGATTATGTATTTTTTGTTTGCCTATATTGTAGAATTTGGTGCTCCTTTGACTTTTTAAGTGAAAATATATCAATGTGTACATGGACAAAGTAAAGGGAGTGCGCAATGCCAGTTTGTGCAATTCTGGGATTTTTTTGTAAGTGAAAATAGGTCGACGTGTATGTGGATAAAGTTAAAAGAGTGCGCAATGCCATTTTTTTGCAATTCAGAATTTTTTTTAAAAATTAAAATAGGTCGACGTGTACATGGATAAAGTCAAAGGAGTGCGCAATGCCATTTTTGTACAATTCGGGGTGGGGGGGTAAGTGAAAATAAATCGATGTGCACATGGATACCGAGTTTGTGCAATTGTTTGTCGTTATTTTGGCTTTGTGTAGCGGTGATTTTTGTCGCAAAAATTGCCGCTTCACAAGCCAAAATAACGAGTCAAAGAATTGCACAAAATCGGTATCCATGTACCGCCAAAAATCGCCAAGAGGTACCCTAAACTATACTTCTACCACGCGCAACTTATATTTATTAGATTTTTTAGCAGGAAACAAGTAGCGTGCATGGCTTGCATGAAAATTAAGCAGTACTAATAAAATTTCATTTCTTATTTATTTATTATGATTATCATTTGTTGTTGTTAAAGAGTTTGATAATAATTGTTAAATATATTATTTCTGCAGCAAAAATTACTGTTTTCTTTCTTAATACAATGAAATCTGATAATCTTTTATAAGAATATTGAAAAAGGACAAGTAAACAACAAATGATAACTATATGGCTCACACATAAAAAAGATTGAAGAACAGGCAGACAGTTTTATAACAAAACAAAAAATGTTACTGCCATAATTCACCAGACCTGCTAGAACTAGTCTCTAAAAACTAACAGGTAGTCCTGTTAATTCATATTGAGTAACAGATTTGGTTGTTTGAATACAGCAAAGAACATGAGGGCTATCTGTCTATGGAGAGGGAAGCCTTCATTGAAGACTATCTGGGGAATCATTTGTATTCAAGTTACACATGTGAAATACTACAAAAAGTAACCATGTATCTAGCTCATTCACCTGGGTCAAATTCCCAGTATTCATTTAATAGTCCTCAATCCTAACCACTCAGTCACTACTGATGCCATATTCAAAAATGCTTAAATAAATACATAATTCATACTTTAAATTTATAAAGATGTAGAAAAGCTACTAAACTGTAAAAGTTGTGCACTATTATTTAGTAAACAACTAACAAAGCAATGATTAAGAAAGGGGTTTCTTGAAAACAATTTTGCCGAGACCAGAAAGCTATATAGCGGAATTTAACAAAACAACTATGCCCATATTTGCCAACTAAATTAATTGCAAGAAATTGATGCATCATGTTCAGTAGAGCAGCACATGATGAACAAATACTTCAGCAAACTAAAATAAGATCACTTGTATTGAACATATAGTTTCATTTCTTAACTATATTGATTTGACTACTTGAGTTTATTTCATAAACCTTTAAAATTCCTTATAAAATATGCAAAGGTTTAAAAAAATTGCTCTCAATGTTTTCTAGGTAAGCCAAATGCATCTTTACATGCACTGGCCTTCTCAACTAAGCTCTTGAAATTGGAAACAAAGATTATCTTAAAAGCTGACAAAATGATATTTTATAAGTTATATTTCACTTATTATTAAATTTTCTGCTAGAACTTGAACAAAAGCTGCCCATTTATTGTTTACGCTTTATCTGAAAAAAAATTCTGAGGTCTCCTTTAAATCTTCAATTAGATTATCTATTTGAAAATTCTTAAGAATCAATTCTTTGGGGGCTTTAGATTCCATTAATAAAATACAAAACATTTTCATTAATAAACTATTAAGTCAGAAATGTTTAGGGAGAGTTTGTGGGTGAGCAAGGTCTGTGTGATGTAGGTGTGATAAATTATAAAGAAGAAATACAGATTTTAAATATTAAAAATCTCATGGTTTTACACATGCAGTTTTCTAAAACTATCCGCAGCTAAAGGCTGAACTTGCAAGTTAATACTATGTATCTCTCTTAGGAGTATAAATAAATCTTTGTCATTGTTTATAAAAAAATTGGGCATTTATTGTGAAAGAACAGTACTTTATGTTTTATTCAAACAACTTTCCATTGCTAGCACTATTTTTTTTTCATCCTTATGGCAGCATATGGATATTGTGCTGGAAGAGCGGTTCACCTTTCGAGGCTATCCACAAATCAACCCAATTTTTAGTATCTTCACATGATGTGAAGCTCTGCTCAGACAGCCATGCATTATCAATCGAAACAAGTAATACAGCAAGTCTAACAATAACAATAAACAAATCTGACTATTTTATGATTTTGTGTAACGGCCATCTTGAAATCACCAACGAACTTGGTGCCAAAAAGAAACTATTTGCCAAGGGGTACCATACAGTAAATTTTTACCAAAACATCTGTAACAAAACACTAAAAATTACATAAAATGAACATTCATAATGAAACACTCAAAAAATAACCACATATTAACTAAATTAAAAAAAGCAATGATCCAATAACAACTGTCAACAATCCAACGCAACATCCAATAAAACACTTAACTTTTTTTTCCTCGGTCTTGTGTCAGTGTGCACGGTTTTAACCTTTAAAAAAAAAAAAAAAAATCAGAGATATCAGACCGTTTTAGCTTCAAAAAATGCAAAACTGCACAAATTAACTTCATGGGATGTTGTACATTCTCTACTACTAGGCAAAACACCATATTTCTGAATAAAAAAGGCAATACATTCTTTCTCATTAGCAGGGAAACTTCCCAATGGCATAGCAATTTGTTAAAACAGAAAACTCCACACACTAATAAAAACGAAGAGAAACTATACATGACTCTCGAATTATTTCTACCACCACCAAAATAGATAATGACATCACACACTGACATAATGCACATGCAACTATCAGCAGGTTGCCACATAAATGCATTTTGATAAAATTCTGGGTTGCCTACTTTGGCAACACACTGCATTGCTCAGTGAATCTCATCAAGGTTGGGTCGATAATGCAATAGTACCACTTTCTGTTAGTATGTCTTCCAAAGCACTGTCTTTCAGTAAAGAATCTTGTTTATTGTTATAACACAATTACAAAGTTTATCATCATATTCATATGATCTTAAATTAAAAGCCAATTTTTTTATATTTCTGCCACCTCGATTATGGAATTTACATGTTAATTTGAGAATGTAATAAAACAATATAAAGTAACTGTGAAGCAAAAATTTGAAGAGGTTACTTATATTTTCATCATTTACATCAAAGTTACTTAACTAACCTTATACATTTCAAGATTCAAATCTTCTAAATATTAATATATATATATATATAAACTGGATTCAAATTTTCATTGTCATTCAAAAACGCACAAGCAATTTCAGCTAATATTTATACAATTTTATGAGACTCTATTACTTCAGAACTTATTTTGAAAAATTAAAAATTTTCCATGTGGGTGTGCATGTTTTCCTTATCAAAATCCTGATATTTAGTATTGCAATTTTTTAAATACCAAGATATTAATATTTTTTAAGAGATTTAAAAATGCTGAACTGCACAAAGAAAAAAAAAAAAAAAAAAACTAAACAGACTGACAATACAATATAACATATCAATTGGCACGATAAAAATGTTAAATTCTTATCCGACTCCCTTTGCACCTTCAGGCGGGTACGGAATTAAAAGATAAGAAATAATTATCACTAATCAATGACTATGACTTATCTATGACCTATGAACATAAACAAAACATTCCTCTTTCCCCTATAAATCTGCTGGTGATTGTGTATAATCACGTTGTATATGTAAACGTTTTCTTAAGAAATTGTTTAAGAAACAGTTAACAATATTAAATGCCACTAACGAAACATCTTAAGATATCTTAGAATTAGTCACCCAGTAACAAGTACGAAATGACACACTCCCCCTTTAAAAAAAAAAAAACTTTCCGACAATTCGACACATACACATTGAGAGTATAACAAACTACGTAGCTACGCGCAGGATCACATTAAGCTCTATAAAATTCTGTACGTAGGCTCCCGGAGACAACTAAGACTCCTCAAAACAAAAATGTTTAAATGATAACATTTTTTGGCAACTTTGGAGAAATAACTAACCTGAAATGACACCGCCATGTTTACATGTCATGTCATCTGATAATAAACTAAATGCCAGATTTAAATAAGTAACTGTAGTCCAGGCAAGGACCCAGACGTTAAGAAAGAAAGGAAATGACGTTATGACATCTCATTGGTTACTGAATTAACCTACCGCAAAAGTAATTTTTGTAACAGAACATTATCTGATCAAAATATATGTAACAGGAATTAAGGGCTATTTTAAACATTAATAAGTGTACGTTATAGAGAATTTAACAAGATTCTGATAAAAACACAGCAAGTAACAATTTTGCTATGCCAGTAATGCTAAGGATGTTTTATATACCGCTTATTATCTTAAATGTGTACAGCTTTACTGTAAAGAAAATGTGCGAAGAATTATAAAAATTATAAATTCTATGAATCAGAAATTTCTGAAAGATAATCCAGTCTAAATCACGCAAATAAGTTCTAGTTCTTAATTTAAACATTCCATTTTAGGCTATGCGCATGTAAAATCCAGTTAAATACAGGCATGTGAAATTCTGAAAGCATAGATTTATTAAGATTATGTCCAATTTAGATGCGAATTTTGAAATTTGCAAAATTTGTGAAATTTATCATAAAAGATAAATTATGTACCGATGAAAATAAATCTACTGCAGCAAATTTATTATCAAAAAATATCAAAAATAAAGCAATGATATTGGAGACAAATCGTTTATGCTTTAAAATTGTTCCAAAATGTTGCTTTATTTTTCTTTGATATTTGAACTTTTAAAGAGAAAATTTATGATTTATGGAGAACTGAGAAATTAATACTCAGTATTTTAAATGCATATTAAAATATTTATAAACGAATTATGAAAGATGATTATTTTTTCCCCAGGTCCGACATCATTGATCCTTTGAGAAATGATGTTTCTCGAACTGGCAACGAAAATTGTCTCCTGCCTCCCGCCAATTTATAAGCATTTCGCTTTCGTGTATTTGTAGTATTTAAATATTGTCTTACTTTTACATTTAATTTCAATTCTTCATTTTTTTTAGATTTAAAACATTGCAAATACTTGATAAAAACAATACCTCACATCATAAGTGCAAAGTTTTGTCATCGGTTTTGCTAGTGAAATAGATGGCTAAAGTGCATGTGTGTAATGTCGTTGTACTCGATAACCCGTCACCTTTTTTTAATCCCTTCCAGTTTGAGGTAACTTTCGAATGTATCGAAGATTTGAAAGAAGGTAAGTATATGTTTATTAAACTCTGAAGCAGTGTGCGAATAAAATGCAGAAGGGCACACTTGTTAATTACTTGTTGTATGTATTTGAGGTAGTTGGCAGCATGCATTTAAATGTTACAGTGAAAAAAGCAGGGTAATAATCATTGTACCGCAGAAATAATAATGTGTTATCACTCTTTCATTCTGTGGTATTTTTTTGCATTGCTATTTAATCATAATTGTGTGCATTCTCAAACAAACATATAGCTACATACGTTATTAATGTAACGTATCATTCTTACTACAGACACAGTATTTTTCAGTAAAGAAGAAAGAAAGTTGTATACTCTTTTATTTACTGGTTAGAAAACGACTATTTTTTTATAATAGTAAATATTAATGTTTCATGGAGGAGTTTGTTTTTCGTATTCTTTCCTAATTTGAAATTTATGGCATAATTTCTTTCTTCTTGAATTTATGTGTGCTAAAACATCTTATAGCCTGTGATAATATTTCTAAATAAGCGTAAAAGTTCTGCTATTAATATTTGTTTCAGACGGGCTCTAAGTTGAATTTGTAGTTCCCAATTATCGGCTAATAGGAATAATTCTGTTTTTAGTGCATGAATATGGCGATTTTTCGAGCTTGCTGTACAGGGGAAAAAAAAAAGAGTATTAACGATAATATGGGAGACTTCATATTAAGATATTTCTCTTAACAGAAGTCAGTGGCATATTATTTTCACTTTCGTGTAATTAAAATTCACACTTTTATTATGGATGCATTGTAATTTTTTAACCTTTATTTGTTAAAGATTCTTCGTTAAATCTGTATTGTCTTGATCTTCATATGAAATTTTGCATCTATTTATACCTTTTTATAAGATTATATGCCATATGCACAATTTTTTTAAAGCTAAAATGTTCTTAACTGAAGGACTTTTGTCTTGTACAGTTAAAATTAAGCATATTGATGTTAAAGAACACAGATGAATGCATAGTATTGTTTTGGTTTTAATGAAAAGTGTATACAAGTAATGGGATTTAATATATATATTAAATACCATTATTTTATACCATATATATATGTACAAGATATTAAAAAGAAGCATCATTGATTATAATTTATTCCATTTTTTTTTTCTTGTTACTTATTCTTAATTTCTTTTTCATTTATTTCTTTAAGTACCATTAACAGAAATTATTTATATATCAGCAGTTTAATTTTATTTGTGAAATTAAAAAAAAAAGTATAATAATGTAAATGATATTTTGTGGTGGTTTTTCCCCCCCCCTTTTTTTCCCCTTTTTTTTCAGCTTGGAATAGCAGCTATTTAGGTATTCAAAATAACATTCATCATAATCACGCTCAGTGCAACCTGCAGTATTTCTTGTGAATATTGTACTTACATAGAATAATTCAAAAATGATCTGGCAGTGCTGTAAAATTGCTTAAAATAGGAAACTATTGAATTTGTTAAAGAAAACTTTAAATGAAATTTTGACCTGTATTCTTTTAGCATCGAAATTCATATATTCTGGACTTAGAAAAGGAATTCTTTTTAAGAATAGTTTATATTTAATGTGTTAATTTACATATTAAATATCATCATAACAGCATTATATCATAGTTTTTTTTTTTTTTCCTCATTTAGGAGGGGGACATTTTTCTGAATTATTTCAGGTACCTCTTAAAGTAGACAAGATCAGAACAAGATTATTTTAGTTAAATTTTTCATTGATGACAGTGTAATAAAAGTTGCATATATTGTGTATGCAAACAACTGAAAAATGTGCAACTTGAAATTTAGTAGGATTGTAAGGAAAGATAGATTTGAAAAATTCTTACGTGTTTTATATCCTTTGCAAGTGTATTCATTACTTCATCTTCAGATGATTAAAGGACAGTTAATAAACTTTGCTTTACAGTACAAAAAAACTTTGACTACTTTTCACATTTTTCTTTAAACAGTTCTTATTTCCTATACAGTCAAAAGTCGTTAATCTGGACTCGTCGGGACTTCGGTGATTCCAGATTATCGATTTTTTTCGGATTATAGATCATCAGTTTAAATCTGGTAAGATGGCATGCAGAAATTTTAAAATTAAAAATATGAAACCGTAATTTATGAAATAAAGAACAATTATGATCTAATGGGTATCAAAATTCACAAAAAAAAGCCTGATCTTTGGAATATGGTAACTGGTAGTTTGGCGACATTTTGAAGGCGATAAAGGTTACTACCTAGGACTTTGGTAATAATGTGAGAAGTACTCAGTTCCGATTACGCATTATTTTGTGTGAGGGAAATGAGAGATCATGAGATATGTCATGTGACATTAATGGACGAATTACAGTTCTTTAATCGCAAAAGGGCGGAAATCTGGAAAAAATCTGGAAATTTTGTATTTAGCTTTATTCTGTGTTGTGTGAAACAATGTTTGGTTAATTTTTGGATCCCATGGCCTAACTAAAGTGAATTCGAAATGGGTATTTAGTGGGATTGAAAGGGGTATCTTTCAATAATTTTATTGAATGAATTAGAAAAGTGTATCCGTCACGTAATCAAGATTCTGAAGAAGATTCGATAAGTTAGTATTTTTATTTATTTGAGGATATTATTTTTAGGCATTGTTCTAAATGTAAGGAGTAAATAAAGTAATATGGTATTATTGGAAAATTGTTATTAGCAATGATTTAGTTTAAGGTAATTAGGATTGTAAGCTAATTTTTATTAATTTAATGTATGTGCTTATTTATATTTTAAGTAGTGTTTTTGAATTTAATTATATTTTAATTAAATGATAGTTATTTTGTGAATTTTATGTTTGTAGGAATTTGGTATACGTTTTAGTTGAAGTAAACATGCATGGAAATAATTTAAATATTTGACACTAAGTATTTGTAATGTTTGCAGTATGAATTCGTTGGTGACGTTTATAATATAATAGATAATTTAGAGTTTTTGGATATTTTATTTATTTTATACGTGGAAATGTTCATCTTTGGAAAGGGTATATACTTTTTCGCGATCAGGTAATTTCATATATGTGCTTTTTACCGAGTTTAAAGATTCACAGAATTTTTTTGCATTTTCGTGCAAATTTTTGTAATTTATGAGAAAATAGCAGTGTAGATGGATAAAGTTAAGAGTGTGTGCAATGCCATTCTGGGTCGTTTTTTTAAGTAAAAATAAGTCAACGTGTAAATGGTGTGTATGTGGTATTCTGAAAAACGCGCAAGGAGTTTGTGATTGTGCACTTTTTCCCAATTTTGCAGTTAATATTTGTCATGATTAAGCAGTTTTGTTACAAAAAAATTTCTAGCATAAGTGTAATTCGGCTAGTAGATTGTTGGAAAAAGTGTTTAGTAAAATAAAAAGAAAAGAAACATGTCTTTATTTCGTTAAGACAAAATGGCGGTGAAAAAAAAAAAGAGGGTTGCTGTAGCAGAATTGGTCGCCAAATTTTCGCTAAAAAATAGCCAAGTTACCATAATCCGAAGATCAACCCAAAAAAGCTAATATTTATTTGTTTACTTTATTAAACATTTCTTTCAATGTAAGTTGTTTAAGTTGCTTTGTTTTTTATGTGATAATACATTCTCTTTAATTCTATAAACAGACATAATTTCTTGTTCAGTTATAAAGTTCCGCTGTTCAAGTCCTATAATTGCTATGTCGAGAATACCGACTAATTTTTCAATTGAAATTTTTTCGTTTTCAGTAGCCTCTGTCATTTTCTTCGCTATCGGAAGCGAATTATAATGACGAGGAATTTGATTTAAATCATGTCAAAGATGGAGTACATCGAGATAGAGTACTACATTTAGTAAGGAATTAAAGTCAAAATTCGTTAATTCGGACACCCATAATCCGGACCTCAAAGCTACAAACGACTTTTGACTGTATAAGCCAAATAAAATGAAAACATCTGCCCAGAAGATAAGGATAGTGCTGACAGATCAACTTCCAATTCATTGCGCGCCGTGACGTTAAAGATAAACAAAGGATATGAATTTATCCATTTTTTGCAGCAATTCCACTTTTTGTTTAATGGACTGCGAAACATACTTTCGCTTTGTAGATTCTTTACATATTAGTAAATATATATCAGAAATTCTATTTAACATAATCAAAAGTTCAAGCTTACTTTTATAAAATTGCTCTAGCAGTCTGCAAAAAATAATAAGCCGAATATAATTCGAAGATTAAGGAACAACGCAATCTGCAACATTAACTGAATTAGATCATTTTAGTTTAGCTTATACTGTCCGTTATACATTAAACGCGCGTTCGTAAACGTATTTTGCTCACACGCATATTTGCAGCCGTAAAGGTCTTACGCATGCGCAGAAAGTTTGTAACTTTGAGGTCTGGATTATGGGTGTCCGAATTAACGACTTTTGACTGTACTTTAAGATCCCTCCTTTTTTCTGTCTTATAGACAGCACTGGACCTTTAGATAAAAAAATTCGCTATTTGATTTTAAGTTTCAGGGAAAATATATTTCAGGTTACCCCTTTGTGATTTTTGGCACCATTCCTGTTTATGTGCAACATCCTCCTCAGTAAAATGGTGTCCAAAACATAATTTAAGCAAAAAATATATAATCTCAATAAACTGCATTTTAAATCAAACAAAGAAATAGGATAAGAATGGAATACAAGTTATCTAATCTGTGCAATATAAAAAAGAAATATCGATTAACCTTTTTAGAAATTTCTGTGTCTTCAGTGTAAGGAATTCCTTAACAGCATCCAAAAACTGTCAAAATTTATCTTAACTAGAATCTGTATACTGCTGTGGCGTCATAAATATACAAAAATAGGAATAAAAATATCCTCTGTAGTGTCGGACAAAGCCATCTGAAGGATTTTATGTTCAACCATACTCTTTCCTTCGTACAAACAGGACATTTATAATGATTACTGAATAAACCTTCATTTACACCAGTTAATTAATGCTTTCTTTTCAATTCATTCCAAATCATACAGAAACTTCAGATTAATCTGACAGATAGCCATTTTACGGTGTAAAGCACAAAATAAGCAGCGTACTTCCTAAGTGTCATCCAATGCAGAAATAAGCCCTAAGAACTCAAAATTGCTGTGATCATGCATTAAACCAGTCATGTCATGATAAAGTTTCCAAAACATACACTGTAAAATATTCAAGTAATCCTAAATAAAACAATAACTTGGTGATAATCCAAAGGAGTAATATAAAATATAGACAGTCCGAAATTTAATTTTTTGTTAGGTTTTGCTTCCCCCCATTTGTGTCTCGTTCTTCAGGTATTGTTTTATGCTCATTTATCTGACAGTAACATCAGCCCAAGTCCACAGAATTCCTCGTGGCAAGGAGTGCAAGATATGCCTATTGTTGGTAACAGCCTTGGGCACCTTACAGGTGAGAGGGCGATTTACCTCGGTTCCGCCCTTAATTTTAATGGAGAGCACCACAGGGGGATGTGTCTGAGGGTCTCGCATACCTCTTCCCTTTCAGGATTAGTTTTGATGGTTTTACCGAACCATCAACCTCAGCTGCAAAAGTGTAAATAAAAACTAGTCCTGTGAAAATTTGAAAATATAATGCTGATTTTTTTTTTAGTCCAAAGGGATTCGAGTGCCGAAGGACTAGTCCTGTAAATGTCGGTTCACTTTTCAAACTGTTGCCACAAAATGTTAGAGTCACATTATATTTGAAGAAATGAAATAATGAAAAATTTGCATAAATGTATGTATATTTCTCGCATTGTGATGAAACAACGATATCTAGAGCCATCCAATTTTGAGTGACGTAATCCTACTGCGAATATGGGCGTCTGAAATCCCAAATTTGGAATTTGTTTTATAATCAATTGCATATTTTGTAAAACTTTAATGATTTTTTGAGTAACAAACTGAACGATTTAAAAGCGATGAATGGCAACATTCTACCGGGGGGGGACCTTTTTATCTCCAGCGCGGCGAACTGTGTATCGGAAATTTATGCGCATTTAAAGATTATTTTGCGACATTGCTATTGAACTAAATTTTATGGTTTAAGTGCAAAGAATGTGATATTTAATAAATAAAGGTAACACATAAAACATTAAAAAAAGCCCCGTTGGACGTAATTTAAAAACTGAAACATTTTTTTTTTTTTTTTACTTCTAAATTAATCCTCTTGTGTGGTTTGGTGAAAGGGAAGAGGGGAAAGGTAGAGTGCTGCTATGCCGTACCGACAATATATATTTACAAGCATCCATGCTTTCTTAGAGATTCAAACCCTAGCCCTTCGGCACAGCAGTCAAGCAACGCTAACCACTATTATATTTGGATGGCGTTCTTCATGTATTTCATTCTATAATCAGTAAGCAGTTAGTCATTTGTTTGGTAAGACATATTTTTCTCGGTGTTTAGTTTTATGCTGTCAGTTGTGAGCATTGTTACATTAAGTAATAATCACATCTAGTTGATTATGTAATTCTAACACAGTATATTAATTTCCACCTACTTTGGTATGTGGGATACTGAGATGGTGTGTTAGTTGATTGCTTAGATATGCACTCACTTCAGTGAAATTTTCGAGTACTTCCTTATTATATTAAAGGCATGCTCCTTCTTATATCTGGTCGTTTACACCTTTGCAAACTTAGTTTATGGAAATTTATGTTTAAAAATATTGCATTTCATTCTGAGGTGTAAATTTTATGCTTTGTTAGTATGGTCAGAAATTTTACGTTTATGTAAAACTCTTCATGAAAGTAATAACTAGCGAACGTTTAGAATTTTAGAATTAAACTATATTGCTTTAAAAAAATAAGCAATATAGTTTTATTGCTTATTTTAACATTTAAAAACATGTTATTACTCAGTAATATGAAAAAAAAATTGCATCTTTAGAAATATATCAGCCAGAGTTGCATAAGATCTTACATTTGCCTTCTAAAATATTAATATGTACTGCTTATCAAGATGAGGGTGAGTAATGTATAAGTACTTAACGTATTGCAACAAATGTTATCAGTATTTATATCATTAGTATTATTAATGATAAAAATTTTTAATGTTGTCTATACTATTCAAAAAAAAAAAAAAAAAAAAAAAAATCGGTCTCTACTTGATTATTTTTGCTGCTAGATTACATCAAAAATTAAACAGTAATTATAAATTTCTGCAATTTTTCTATACTTTCCTTTCTTATTCAAATATTGAATTTTTCCTTTTTTATGTATAGACCTTGAATGGAAGATAATTTATGTTGGCTCTGCAGAAAGCGAAGCTCATGATCAAGTTCTAGACAGTGTCTTTGTAGGGCCGGTTCCAGAAGGAAGACATATGTTTGTATTCCAGGTATTTTATATACAGATAAATTTTTTATAATTTTTAGAAAACGTCAGCAAGTTTTGCGACAAATTATGTAATTATTCAAAAGTACAGTAAATGGTTAAATCTCAAAACAACATCTTGTAATAAATTGCAGCATCTTATAGAGTTGAATAAGGCATTTGCAGATTATCTTTTTTGTTAGAAAAGTACTAACGTGTTTAGAGAAATATCCCGATAAGGGGTTCTCAACTTGAGAGGAATTTCAAAGTTTTGCTGAGAATGGGGTCAGCCTTTTATTTAGCTGTTAAATATAAAGTTTTTTTTATAAACATAAAAAAGAAACTATTTTTTATTCAAGTTTTGGTATTTATCATCATTTTCTATATTTTATTAGTTTATAAAGTGAGTTAAAAAATAATCTGGAAAACTCAGATAAGCGGCACTTGGCGCATTTTTTTTTCGCCATCTTGAATTGCGAAAAATCACCATATCCTCGGGAGGAATTTTTTGACGCCAAGAAGGGAATGGCATCAAAGGGCGCTTTTCAAAAATTCCCTCTTCAGCCCAATAATGGGGAAAAAAGCTCTGCTGGGCGAAAAATGCGTAAGGCAAAGTGTAGCGTGTGCATTGAGATGATAAACCATACACATAGAACAAATTGTAAATAATTAGTTATTGTTATGATTAAGTAAACCTACGTACTTTTTTCTTCTTAATAGTTTATATTATGATATATATATATATAACTCCAGCATTATTAACTTTTATATTTCTCTTTTTTAATTCTTACCATTAATTTGAACAATTATCCATAATAATGGTTATATATCGGTGAAAACATGTTATTTATATAAATGCAATAATGATCATGAAAATGCAATATATATCACGTAGTTAATGATGAAAGTTTAAAATAATAAAATATACATGTATTTCCACAATAATATTGCATCCTCGAAATATATTGCAGGCTATTCAATCGTCTTTCCAGATTCTTTTATGCACATAATTTCGATTAATAAGGTTAACAGGGTTATTTGTATTCTTTTTTTCTTGTTTAAGTGCGAAAATAGTTTTCATGTAGGTAACCAAAGAAATGTAACCCTGAATTGCGTAACTGCAGGGAAACAAGATTTGTAACAAGCGCTTCTATAGCTTTTCACGATGGTATGGAATTGTTTAAATTTCAGAAAGAGACCAATGAAGTAGAATAGGATAAGGTTATTTGAATTTTTCTGTATTTATTCCGTGAAAATTTAAATCTGAAGATATTTTTCGGCAATTTGAACATTGTCTATAACTGGTTTCGAATTGGCGGCCCCCAAAACAATTTGATGTGGTCGGCGAATGTATTTCAGTTATGTATTTATTGCAAATATAATGATGCAAAGATTTCTATGTTTTACTTAATTGAGGTTTTAGTTTATGTTACATTCATTACTATTAAACATGAGTATGAGTAACACGTCAGAAAAATCTATATAAATATAAATCTTATTCAATGATTTGAAGATACAAATTTAATTAACTTTTATTTATTTATTTATTTTTGGGGGGGGGATTTGTGTGTGTGAAAAAATAAAGAAATGCTCATGTTTTGGCTAATGGTTTAGATAAGTCCAATTATCATTTTATTGCATTTTTAATACAGTCAAAAGTTGTTAATTCGGACACCCATAATCCGGACCTCAAAGCTAAAAACTTTCTGCGCATGCACCGCGTTGACACATGCACATAGGCGTTTACGCGTGCGCGTAAGACCTCTTACGACTGCGCATTTGCGTGTGCGCAAGCGCAGAATACGTTTTAGCGTGCGCGTTTTATGTATAACGAACGGTATAAGCTAAAATTATCTAATTATCTATTTCAGTTAATGTTAATGATTGCGTTGTTCCTTAATTTTCGAATTGGATCCGGCTTATTATTTTTTGCAGACTGTAAGAGCAATATTGTAAAAGTAAACTTGAACTTTCGATTATGTCATATAGAATTTCCGAATCTGGAGCTCCCAAAAGATCGTACAAAACGAAAGTATGTTTTCGATGTCCATCAAACAGAAAGTGGAATTGCTGCAAAAAATGGATGAAGACATGAAGATTGTGACAGAGAGGTTAGTGGAAACGAAAAAATTTCGATTGACAAGTTAGTCGGTATTCTCGACACAGCAATTATAGGACTTGAACAGCGGAACTTTGTAACTGAACAAAAAAATTATGTCTGTTTATAGAATTAAAGAGAAAGTATTATCACATAAAACGAAGGAACTTAAACAACTTACATTGAAAGAAATATTTAATAAAGTAAACAAATAAATATTAAGCTTTTTTTTGTAAATTTTGATACCCTTTAGATCATAATTGTTATTTATTTCATAAATTACGGTTTCATATTTTTAATTTTAGAATTTCTGCATGCCATCTTACGCGATTTAAACTGATGATCTATAATCCGGAATCGCCGAAGTCCCGACGAGTCCGGTAACGACTTTTGACTGTAATTATATTCAATATAAATTTGATTATGAGGGGTTAAAAAACTGCTTTTATGATACAGGGTGTCTTTCTGCGGCTGAAGGGTGAAATTGTCACACACTGGTAGTTTGTCTCAGAGTCAAGCCATGGCTAGCAGAGTTCCCTCTCCTTAAGAAGTAGAACAGGAGTGCTTTTGATATTCTAAATAATCCTAATCGTATTTATACATGGACATAATTAGAAAAAAGGCATTTGGTTAGATGAAACAATGACTTCCATAAATTAAAAATATATCTATATTCATATTACGAGTACAATTAATTTATTTAGAAATTATTTCCTGTTTGTTATGGCCAGACTCTCATGTATTTAAATATTAAGTATATAATTTTAAAAAATTCATTCTAATTAGAAATTATCTGGAAATAGGAACAATAATTTAGAAAAAAAAGCATATTTTATTTTATAAAAATAAAATCATTTTATTCCGATTAGAAGTGTAATTTACTTAAGTCTATAATTAAAAATTTTAAATAATTTTTTTAATTAATTTATTTAGAAATTATATGTAAATGCACATGAGATAATGTGAGCCGTAAGTATGAAAAAGATATTTTCTAATTTTCTTGTATAAAAATAAAATTATCTTATTCTAATTACAAATGTAATTAATTTATTTAGAAAATAATGTAACAGCGAATTCAAAACGTCTACTGACAAAGTCATGTGATCATCAGCACAAAGATTTATCTATAAATTCACAGCACCCAATGCAAAATATCAACCATATAGAAAAGAAAATATCCCTTTCTTTTTTCCTATCTTACTTAACATCTGCTGTAGCAACCTAAACAACAAATGTTTGGCACCTATCACCCAAGTTGACGAACGCAATTTCCGGAACCTTGCCAAGTGCCAGTTATCTGAGTATCCTCAATAATCTGAATCTAAATAAATATGACCTTCTAACAATGGTGAAAGGTGTGCATAAGGTAAACAGATTTAGAACCACTGATCTAGAAGTTTTTATCCTCTTGATGCCCAAATTCATTACAGTAGTAATCTCAGTTATTAAATAGTGAAGAATCTACGTATTTCTTGTATTGCGGGAAAACGGCAGCGAGGAAGGCATTTATCTGGCCTTGACCACATGTAGTCTTCCATCTTAAAGCCTGAATTTTGAATTTTTTTTCCATATTTTGTGTGAATTTAAAGAAGTTTTGAATGAAAATTCAGTAATATAAAGGCTTTATGTTGTCACTAGGCAAAACACAATGTACTGGAATGTATTCTTATTGGAGTTTAAAAAAAACAGACTTAGCGGTTTAAAAGAAATGTGTTGCCACTGCCCGGATTAAAATATTTTGATCTTTCTTCAATAAAGCACAAGATAATTTTTGTTTTAGATTTTTTTGTTATTAAACTAATCACTTAAAACTAGTAAATGCAAATCCGTTTCAATTATTAATTAACTGAATTCATTAAAATCATATGTACTTTTTCATACTTATTTTAAAGGGCTGGCCATACAAGCAGTTAATGTTATGAGAGGTGAATTCTAAAAATTTTCTAGGCTAAAGTGAAGTATCAGTTGCACATAATAATTTTATTCTTGTAACTTGCATTCAGTGTTAGATAATAATATCGTTCTGGCAACTTTTTTCCTTCCTGTAACACAAAACTATGGAATTGCAATGTATTTATCTCGCTCGGTTACATGTTCTCTTTTTTAATTGCTATTTTGTATTTTTAAAATAACTTGTTTTCAAATGCCGGAAACGGAATCCCGTTTTATTTTCATGTTAGAGTGTGTGTTAAAATTGCAGCAGTTTGGCAATTGTGATTGTGCAGGTGTGCAAAATTGAGTGAATTTTTATTAATAATTGAAATTTACATTACATTGCTGAAGTGGCTTTTCTTTTGTTATGTTGATAATGCTTGCTGTTTTGCAATCAATATCAATAGTTAAGCCACCTTTTTCAGATAAGTCTCCAAAATTGCAAGCTTATGCTCAACAAGTAACTTTCACCAATTTTTATGTTAATACATCTGTGTGTTTGTATACTTCAGAGTATTCTAAACAAGTCATGGAAGATGCTGCAAAGAAATGTAAAAATGACATTCTAGATTGTGTTTTGAGAAACCTTGTAACAGACTACACTGCTTATATGAAGGGAATATGTACAAAAACTGAAAGTTAGAATTATTCATATCCGATTACATATGAATATTGTGCACATTTTTTATTCTTGCTGAAGATTAGAATATAGCTGATATTAGAGAGCTGGTAATATACGAGGGCTATCCAGAAAGTAGATTACGTTTTGGAATAAAAAAATAAACAAAGTATAGGAAACAAATTTTATTATATACAGATGAAAGCCACACTCAAATACTACTTTTCTACATAGTCACCATACAAATTAAGGCATTTATCGTAGCGATGTACGAGCTTGGAAATTCCTTCGTCGAAAAATTCGGCCGCCTGCGCCTTCAACCACTTCGTTACCTCTTCTTGCAGCTGTGCGTCGTCATCAAAACGCTGCATAGCCA